CAAACAAGGAGGTAGGGTGTAAGGAGATACAGAAGTAAAGAAGAAGATAGGACAGAGGAAAGGAAACAAGAGGAGGAGGAGGAAGGAAGAACAGAACACAAGGAATATAGGAAACAATGAAGGAAAGGTAGGATTGACGTAATGAACAGGAGAGCAAAGGATGGAAGGAAGGAAACAAGGAATAAAGGACACAGACAGGAGGAAGGAAACAGAGTAGAAATATAAATATTCTTTGCTTCTTCTCATCTTTCTAAATCGCAGGAACCTTAGAAACTCCATCAGCATCATTCTGAGCTGCAGAGCTTCAGTCATATTTCACAGCCTAAATATCAGAACCAACAAGCTGGACCCGGTGGGCTGGTTTCTGGGATTGCATCTTTGCTTCATGCTTTTATTTTCAGAAGAACCGAGTCGCTCTGAGAGCAGGAGCCCAGGTTCTGAGGAGCCCAAACAAAAACCACCGCGTTCCACCTGCAGTTCAACAGTCATCGCTCTTTATTCTCCTTACAGATTACAAATGTTAGAAATCTGCCAGCATTGAACAGAACCGAGGCTCGGCTCAGAGCCTCCGTCTAACGGTGCGGCTCAGATTCCATCGGATCCGGTTTCAGAACCGGTTCTTTTCAAATGTTCATTGATCCGAAACGTCAATCTGTTAGTTTTCACCTCCACCAGTCACCTGCCGGCCTCCTACAGTTCCCAGAATCCATCTGAAACATTAGTGGGCGGGGCCTCAGTGCAGCTTTGAGATAAGGGTGTGGCCTGTGAGTTTGTGGGCGGGGCCTGTTATCGTCAGGGAGCCGATAGGTCGGAGCGTCCCACCTCTGAGGTTCCCTTCAACAGGCCCAGCCTCACCACCACCACCTTCCTCTTCTTCTGCTCCAACCCATCTTCATCCTCCTCCTCGTCCTCCTCCGGCTCCTCCCTCTCCTTCCGTTTCCCTCTCCTCTCCTTCCTCTTCTCCTCCCTCCTCTGCTTCTTCGCCTTCTTCCTCCTCTTCCTCTCCTCTTTTTCCATCATAGCCGGGTCCTCCTCCTCCTCCTGCAGTCCGTCCTGAACCTCTTCCTGCTCCACTTCCTCCTCCACCGCCACCAGCATTTCATCCTGCTGCTCCTCTTCTTCCTCCTCCTCTTCCTCATCATCATCATCATCTTCCTCCTCATCCTCCTCTTCTTCTTCTGTGGTCACAGATACGATATCGTCCTTCATTTGCTCGTGTTTCAGCATCATACTGTGCTCCCCGTCCTGCACCACCGACAGAAAAGACAGTTAAAAAAACAAAAAACAAGAATTACACCAAATAAACTGAGTAGATGACAAAGACACACATCTGACTTTTCAAAATAAACCTTTAAAACGGTTGGATCTTTTTAAAGTCTTATCGCCTCCTAGTTCTTAATGTCTTATAATCCTGAATATCTGGATGTTGTCTAAAATGATCATCTGTACGGAAGAGGATTAGGGCCACTGAAAAAAAAAGTTAACTGATTTTTAAATTTTATTTCAGTTTAATATTAGAATTCAGTTTAATCTCAGAATTCTAATAGATAACAAACATGTTAGCATCAAGCCATAGACATGTCTGTTTTAGAGACTAGCTCTCTTGTTTTAATGACCTTCTGCTCCTCCATTAATGAGGGGACCCCTCGGCCACGTAAAAAGTTGGCTTATTCCGTCATTTTCCACCAATGTTTCACTGGCCACCTCAAAAACCTCACATCTTTGTCAGTGAAGCTGAAAGCTCCCACATCTCTTCCTTCATGGTGACCATCTACATTAAGATCCAAAATTCTGAGATTAAAGTCAGAATTCTAAGAAAAAAAGTCAGAAATTCTGAGAAAAAAAGTCAGAAATCTCAGATTAAAGTCAGAATTCTAAGAAAAAAAGCCCGAATTTTTCAGCTTAAAGTCAGAATTCTGAGAAAAAAAGTCAGAAATCTCAGATTAAAGTCAGAATTCTAAGAAAAAAAGCCC